GAGATACAGCTATTTAAATATCTGGAATCTGAGGGTGCAAAAATATCAAAATACTGAGAAAATCGCCTTTAAAGTTGTCCAAATGAAATTCTTAGCAATGCATATTACTAATCAAAAATTACGTTTTGATATATTTACGGTAGTAAATTTACAAAATATCTTCATGGAACATGATCTTTACTTAATATCCTAATGATTTTTGGCATAAAAGAAAAATCGATAATTTTGACCCATACAATGTTTTTTTGGCTATTGATACAGATATACCCCAGCGACTTAAGACTGGTTTTGTGCTCCAGGGTCACATATAGTAGACACTACAATAATAAATAATTTTTTTTTGCATGCAACAAATTAGGGTTGTGTGATATACCGGTAGACATGATTAACCAGTAGAAATTTGTCAACTGGCAGAGATTTTGGACTATCGTCTCTATCGCGGTTACATGCTCACGCGACTTTGCTGTGCTATGTGGTCATGAAAACTTATCGTTTGCATGCATTTTTAAGCATTGCGCTTTAAAAAATAAGTGAATTTAAGCTGCTGAAACACAATCAGCAGCGAAAGAGAACTCATTTCACTATATGCATGCGCTGTCTGAGAGACTTTCTGAGCACTGTCGGAGAGGCGCACGCACGTCAAGACGGTGCTCATAGAGCACGGGAGTATTGAACTGAGTTATTTTTGCCACTTTATAGGGCTTGAATGGTTAAATACACCCTTGTATGTGTCAAAATGGCCATCTTTGCAAGTATCCTCTTAATCACAGTAATTTAGGTCTTAAGTGAATGCAAACAGCTGTGAGAGAAAACGCGTGTAATAACAGTATATTGGATCCAGGCAGTTCTTAAAGTGACAGCAGTCTAATATTCCTGCTGTCTGTCATTCATGTTAATCAAACAACAAAATAGAGAAAATCTCTAACTGCTCTTGACTAAATTACTTTTATAACTTTAATAAAAATAAATATGTATTTAATTTACACAGTAAAGAATATGCAGTGTTTTTATGCATTTGATTACCTTATACAATGTATGTAGCATTTCTTATGTTCTACTGTAGGTTTTTTATCCTATTGCTTGTAATTAGTTTCCTATTCTTATTTAATCACTGACTGTTTACTTGTCTTCAGTGAGCTTGAGTTTTTTTTATTTTTTTTTTTAGGCAAGTATACGTTTTTTTTTTATATATATATTGTCACTCGTGACAAGAATTAAGACATATCTTTGGTATCAAAAATGTTGATATCATAAAGCAAAAAATAAATAAATCATGATATACTGTATATTGCTACATGAAATAAAATTACTTATATCGTGCTATAAGATTTTAGTCATATCATCCACCCCTATAACAAATAACTTTAAATCATGTTTTCGGGATATCATGCACTACCATTCTTCAAGTGTTATAGACCAATAAAATAGGGCTATATAGAATATAGACTGGCATGCATGAATGGAAAAGTGTACAAAAGTTTTTAGGTGCAATATATGTGCTAGCTAGTTATAATGTACGCTGTTCTGCGTATAGAAAGGAGGTTGCGGCGTCACTGCTCTCTCTCTGGTAAGAAACAACAGAGTTCAGTGAAGGAAATTAAGAAGAAACGCTCAACATCTTTCCGTGAGACCTCATTCTGTGACCCCAGTGAGTGGCCCTATTTTAGGCTGACCTGACCTGACCTGGTTCATACTAACTCTTATTGGAGCCTGCCGTGTGGGGTTTGCCCGTTGTCTTGATGCCGTCCAATTATGGTTTTGGTGAAACTGGAACATTCCCTCACCTTTTTTTTCAGTGTCTGATTTTAAACAGATTAAAGATTAAAGTTTAATATTATTAGTGGAATACAGAAACATTACACAAAACTCAAAAAAATGCATTCATCATCCCAAAATACACACATAAAACATAATCAACCCAGCAATAACCTGTGTTAAGTTCTCTTGTTTTGATTTGTTGATATTTCCCCTTTTTAAGTTTACTAACAAATTTCAGACATTTTATAGATCAATATCAACCAAAAAACTTGGGTCATATTTTACCCCAAAATATTAAGTTTTATGCTTTTAGAAAATAGATTATTTTTCTCTTGATTTTGGGGAGTAACATGATCCAGACATGTTTTGGCGAGACTCATCTTTGCATTGCTTTTAGAATGTGTATTTACACTAAAATTATAGGCTTGCCAGAAAGATATCTGAATGCATCTGGGTCTCTGAGAGTGAAAATAAAACAGCATAACAATGTTCTGTAATTGGTGATTGCGAGTTTTGTTCATACTGAATGGAATTGTTCTGGTGATTTCATGGCAATGGTTTGTGTGCAGTTCCTGTATGTCTTGCACATTACACGCTACAATGAAACACAAAGTTTATATTAACACTACGTATTTACTAAGAATGTATCATCAGTATATTAACTGCTTAATGGCTTGACTGTTTTTGTCCTTTGATTTCAGGTGTCCTGAGGTGGTTCAGGCTTGATTTAAAAAAAGTCATGCTAATTGTCTTCTTATTATTGTCTTTTTGTCCCTGATGGGTCACCGTGTCCTCAGACGCCAGGGACAACTCGTTCAGCCGCTCACGCAGCTCCAGTGTGACCAGCATTGACAGAGAGTCACGTGAGGTCATTTCTTCCTTCTACTTTTGTGACTCCCTGTCCAAGAAGAGCGAGACTGTGGCAGTGCCCAGCCTGTGGGTGGGCACCTCATTGGGCAGCATGCTGGCCATCGCCCTCACTGTGCCCTCCACACCAGAGCAGAGGATGCAACAGCCTGTGGGCATCTCTTTCTGTGGTAAGATGTACCTATTATTAGCTATGTTTCCATCCACATATTTTTACACACATTTTGGGAAATTGCATAAAAACACCAGATAGAATTGCCAAGACACATATAAAATCTTAAAAAGTGCATAAAAATTTATGCACTCCATTGAGGCAGATCATTTTTTCCTTTAACATCCAAGGAACTTTTCCATTCCACAAAATGCACATAAACTGTGATGAACTTTTTCACCCTTGTGTTGTGTGGAACTCTCAATCGCAATCCTGCTGAAATTAATCGTTTTCCCAGGAACTGACCACATGGGATGGAAACAGTGCTTTTTTGAAAAAGTTTCATGCAATATTACAATTTTCGCACAAGTTACATTCGCAGCTTTAATTTAAATTTGTAACTTTGGATGGAAACAGCGGTTGATGGAAAAAGGCACACCTGTTGGTTTCACACCTGCATACGTCCAGTATATTCATGTAAAGCAATATAATACTATATAAAAATGCACATAAACTGTGATGGACTCAGTGCATAAATTCATGTGATTAGATAACTTGGATAACTGAAATTGGGGCAAAAAAGTGACATTTTTATTGTCAATAGTGTACCAATGTGTGAAGCACTTCTCACACAGAAGTCACTTTTCAAACCAAACTCGGTAAGTCAAAATTGCAAATTGAATGTGAGCAAAATATGTGTGAAGAACTTTTTCACCCTTGTGTTGTGTGGAACTCTCAATCGCAATCCTGCTGAAATTAATCGTTTTCCCAGGAACTGACCACATGGGATGGAAACAGTGCTTTTTTGAAAAAGTTTCATGCAATATTACAATTTTCGCACAAGTTACATTCGCAGCTTTAATTTAAATTTGTAACTTTGGATGGAAACAGCGGTTGATGGAAAAAGGCACACCTGTTGGTTTCACACCTGCATACGTCCAGTATATTCATGTAAAGCAATATAATACTATATAGCAAATCTTGCATAATGCAACTATCGGCCAGCTCTTTATATAAAGTTGCATATATAAGTATATACAGCTTTATTTGCATATAATGTATACAGTACACGCAGTATACTATATAGCAAATCTCGGCTATGTGATTGTTTATTTTGTCACGAAGCGTAACTATATTATTGCCTAGCTCTTTATATAAAGTTGGATATATATGTCCTACTTTATCCGCATACATACAGTACACTTATATATCAAATTTTAATTGCTTTTATCATTGCAGAATATAACTATATTGTCACTCAGATCTGATGACTGCAACTATAAGGCATGATGTTATGATACTATAAACATTAACATCATGACTTTCTTGATGAAGCTTTCTTGAAACAATATGTATTTTGAAAAGCACTATACAAATACATTTAACTTGACTTCTTGTCATCACAGGTCCAGTAGTGCGCTTGAAGGGAGGTATTTTGCGCATGGCCCAGCTGGATGCCAGCGGGACCCTTCTGCCTCATGTTTACGAGTCCTGGTTTGAGCCCAACGCCCCTGAGGAGGAGAGAGAACGGCCACGGAGACGCCGGCCCACCTCGCCTCCTTCTTCTCAGGAGAACCCGGACTGTCAGTACGCTGTGGTCTGCTCAGAGAAACAGGCTAAGGTGGTGGCGATGCCCTCCCAAAACTGTGTCTATGAACACAACATCACAGAGACCTCCTTCGTACTTAGAGCAGATGTGGTGACGATGACTGCAGGGGTCGGCATTGCCTGCTTCTGTGCCAATGGCCATATCATGACCCTCAGGTAACATGATTAACCTGATATTCAAAACCATTGAATATTTTGTTTTTTGACTCATAAGTCTGTAAACCGTCTGTTTTTTTTAGTTTGCCCAGCCTGCGGCCACTGCTAGATGTGAACTACCTTCCCCTGACAGACATGAGGATAGCTAGAACCTTCTGTTTCTCAAACCAAGGCCAAGCCCTGTACCTCACATCGCCCACTGAGATCCAAAGAATCACCTATAGCCAGGAAACCTGTGATAACCTGCAGGTCAGACTGTGTACATTATGTTTTATCATACCTGTAAACATTTTGGCATTTATTTTGAGGTGCTCATTTTTGCAGGAGATGCTCGGAGAGCTGTTTACTCCAGTGGAGACACCAGAGGCTCCAAACCGAGGCTTCTTCAAGGGCTTGTTTGGAGGCGGGGCTCAGTCCTTAGACAGAGAGGATCTGTGTAAGCATTAATCTGGCACTCAAACATAAAAATCTGTTTTTCTGAAAAATGTCTTAAATAGAAGCGATCTAAAATTCTGTCTGATTGTTTATCATTCTTTTAGTCTGACATCTATACTGTTTTTAATCAATCAAACTTTTTAAATGTTTACTATCAAAACATTTTAATGTACAGTACACTTAAAAAGTGGGAAGAACAGTTAAATCATCTAAAGAACCTTTTTTCCAAAATATAAAGAACATTTTGTGGAATGGAAAGGTTCCTAAGGAACCTTTAACCTTTGCCAGAAAGAAATAAAGAACCTTTATTTCTAAGTATAGTATAGAGAAAAACAATAGAATGAATGTCACAATGTCACGTAATTGAAAATGGGTCATATTTCATCCCTAAATCAAATGAAGATCTATTGTGAAATCTCTAATTTTACATAAAGAAAATGAAACCTATTTTTCAGGATTTTATTTTTTAGGAATATATATATATATATATATTTTTTTTTTATCACAAAAATTAGGCACATTTCACTCCAAATTCTCATTAATGTTAATTCAGATTTTTTATAGACAACTCCTTCCTCATCAAAAAGTGAAAACAGCCAGGCAAAATATGAGATGCAAAAGAAATGAACACACTTTCGTCAGTGGTTATCACAGATAAAAGGTAGACAAGCGTTCAATTTATGCTATGACTAAAAGGAATGATACTAAGTTTCACTACTAAGTGTTATTTAAGAATTTGTACTTTCTTGAAAAATGTATGTTGGCACTGAATCATATCCCTCTTGTTTGTTCTCGCCTGCAGTTGGAGAGGTGGCTGCTGGTAAAGCTTCACGCAGCCTGGCGCAGCACATCCCAGGTCCAGGTGGTATGGAGGGCATGAAGGGGGCCGCGTCCGGTGTGGTGGGAGAGTTGGCACGGGCGAGGATAGCTCTGGACGAGAGAGGACAGAAACTAGGCGAGCTGGAGGAGAGGACAGCAGCCATGATGGGCAGCGCTGACTCCTTCTCTAAACACGCGCATGATGTGAGACATTCACTTGCTATTCACCATGACTGCTGCTTTTTAAAGTGATACAGAGGCTGCGTTTCAATACGTAGTGAGCACATTCCAGTCCCTCCAGGATTGTGCAATCACAGAAATAATGCAATCATTCACTGCAAACAGTGATTTTCTTACTGAGTATTTTTGTCATTTTCCGGTACAAATGTCAACATTCTTTTAAGATGCATAATGACTGAAGACATTAAGTCTTGTTTTCTGAAATCTTATGTCATTTTGCTTCTCAAGTAAATATATATTGGTTTAAGAATGTTTAGATATTTGTGCTGGAAAACAAGACCAAATACTCAGTAAGAAAATACTTTTCACAGTGTTCATTCATTCACTACCAACAGTCTTTTCAACCTGTTCGCTTCCAAAAGGCACAAGAGACACGGCTGCGTAAGCAATCCAATGCCTTGTTTATATTTACAAGCGTGTGGGATGAAATTAAAGGGGTCCTATTATGCTTTTTCACTTTTTCAACTTTAGTTAGTCTGTAATGTTGCTGTTTGAGCATAAAAAAGATCTGCAAAGTTACAAAGCTCAAAGTCCACTTTAAAAGGAAATATTTTATTTAACAGAAATCACTTTTCGAAAACTACAAAGAACGACTCGTTTGGACTACAACGCATATTTTCCGGGATTTGTGATATCACAAAGATCGACGAATGGGACGAGACCTGGTAATGAGTGTTATCACTATGTCAGAGACACGCTAGCTTTCCCAAGGCAGACGGTTTCTAGAGGTTAATGATGTTATTAAACTACTATAAGAAATACTGAATATAATGTATATTGGGGCAAATATTTGCTAGTCCTCATAATGGTTGATTTCACCAGTAGATTAGATTTAAATAAATAATATATTAAATATTTTACTGGATATGCACTCTTAAAATATTTTGAGTGAATACAATCACTCATAATCTGTTATATGTTGAAAAAAGTAAAAACAATAGACAATGATATTGTTAAAATGTTAAAACATGAAGTAATATATAACATTTAAAATGTATATAATCTTCACTGATTACACACTGATTCAGTGACAATGTGCATTATTTACAGGTAATTGAATTCTTTTACTGATTAACATTATTTACATCATGATTTTTTATGGATTTACACTGCAGAAGCAGTGATAAAATGCCACAAATATTGCATTTTAGGCCACAAAAATCAGTCCTTTTTTAAGAAACTGTAATTTTCATTGGTATTGATGTCCAGAAATGCTGTCTAGGTAGGCAGCTCTCTAGGTTTTGAGATGCAGCCGTAGTCTTTGACAAACAATGATATTTGTGTTGGCTAATTTGTTTCATAGTGAGTAAACCATCTGCCTCTCTCCACCAGATAATGCTGAAATACAAGGACAAGAAATGGTACCAGCTCTGAGGTCCCTGCAGGGAGTCAGCGGACCTTCCTATGAAGACAGCAGATCCATCATCTCTCCTCCGTTTCTTCCTTCTCTTCCTGTATCTCTCTCTCTCTCTGTGATGTCCAGAGACTGCCACTCGCGCTCAGCTCAACGTCACGCGGCATTACCTCGAGCTGAGGAGCTACGGAAAGACAGAGGAGACAGGAGGGGAAGGAATGGGACAGGCGAAACGCATCAGGACGGGATTTCCTTCCCTTCTCGGTGGCAGTTGAGTTTCCTCTCCTGAAAACAAAGCTGTGGATCTTGTCTTGGGAGAGGAGGCCCATCACCGGTGCTGCCCCCTGTCTTATACCTTCATACGCCACGCTGTCATTTTCACTGCCATTCTGTCTGCAAAGAAACTACCGAAAGGACATTTTGGGAAATGAAAGATTTAAGATGAATGAAATGAGTCAGATGGACATAGAGCTGACAAAAGAAAGTCTAACGTCTGCAGCATTGCCAAGCTTAATGCTTCTGATAATCTGTCACTAGAGCAAGAATAGGTTGCATGTCTAGTGATTTCATTTAGGAAATTAGTGCTTTTTCTTGTTTTTGGAATTGGGATGAATCTCATCTAGCTAATATTTCACCCCAAAATCAAGATTTTGCATAAAGAAAACCTGTTCTTTAAGCGAAAAATTACATAAATTTGATTTTAGGTTGAAGCATAGCTAGATTTCATGAGATTCACCCAGTAATCATGTTAGCTATGGAAAAGGCCGGATTGTGTTATGTAAGGTGTGATGAAGTACCATTTAATTTCACCTCTAAAGGGCTGGAAGTTGCTGTATTTGCCACATATCATGTGATTATTTTGCCATATGAAATTGCAGACGGGCCTGGGCAGCAAAGCTGATCTGATCATGCATCATTTTGTTGTTCTTTCGTCTAAAGGACGTATTGGTTTACACTGATCAGGTCTCAAAAGAGCTTTTAGGGAAGAGCTCTGACTCTGATGTACACTATACGCTGTGTTGACACTGGAGAAAGATGTTCATTTTAAGTATATATAAAGATCTAATTAGCGTGACTGTCTAAAAGCGTGTCTGGCTCATATTGCACACCAACATCAAAAGAAAAAGTAATATTTAGCATGAAGACAAATACGATTTTTTGCATTGTGCTTCGAAAAAAACACTGTAATACAATTTTTTTTAAATTTAAATCAGCATAAATTAAAGACAGTACAAATACCACTATGATATATAAATATTTGTCAATTTAAATATGTTTTTTTAACATTTTGGTAAATTTATTTATTTATTTTGTTTCATTACAGAATAAAAATGTGCCTAATTATTTTCACAGTGCAAAAAATTGGTTTAATTGTCTGTAAACTGTTATATTTCTAAGTTCTCCGATTTTTTGGGGGCGAAATATGACCCAGACGTGCTTTTAAAAGGTTTCACCAGTAGGAATGACTGCTGAATATTTGCTGGTTATATACAAACAGAGATCTGGAGCACGTAAATTATTTTTGATCTACAGGAGCAGGATATTTTTATCATGAAGGAGTGCGAGTGAGAGTTGGGAAGTGTGAGGCATGATCTTGATTATGTGCCTTGTGATGAATGTCTCCGGACACGAGGGACACCGGTGGAATGTGCCGAGAGTACTGACTCTTCATATGCAAAACAGGTTCCTCCTCCTCATTTCCCATGATGCAACTGCTCCTGGACGAGGAAATCTCGAGGCTTATGCGAGACTCCGTACAGTACCTGGTGACTTCCTCCTCTGAAGTACATGAGGAATGGATTTCTCTGTGTATTTTCTAAGAAGCCTTTTTCGGATGGACTAATGCATGAGTTTGTCATCCTCACAGAGATGTGAATATATCTATCTCTGTGTTTGTTGCTGCAGTGGAGGTGACCACTAAATGTTCAGTGCGACTCCATACTCTCGATCAGCAGCCCTCGGATGGGCGTTACCTTCTGCCTTTGCTTTGCGACCCATGAATATATGCTAACCTCGACTCGTGTGCATATACGTGTGTTCGTGAACATACATGTATGCAAGAATATGTGTATGCTCACGTTTATATAAACTAAAGATACAATATATTTGAAAGCCTATGTTTATATGTAAATTGCTGCTATTTGTGTTTAAAATTAGAAGCATCTGTCAAATCTGTTGACGCTTGTTATTTTCCTATCAGGCATATGAAAGAGTTAGTTCTCCCGTAAATGAAGATTTGCTGAAAACGTACTCATCCTCAGGCCATCCAAGATGCAGATGAGTTTGTTTCTTAATGTGAACAGATTTGGAGTAATTTAGCATTACATCACTTGCTAAAGTGAATGGGTGCCGTCAGAATGAGAGTCCAAACAGATGATAAAAACATTACAGTTATCCACAAGAGTCCAGTCCACCACTTAATGTTTTATGAAGTAAAAAACTGTGTGTTTGTAAGAAACAAATGCATCTTTAAAGCGTTTTCACTATAAACCATTGCTTCTGACAAAAAAATAGATCCATAATAATGCTTCCTCCACTGAAAAAGTCCATCCCCAGTTGTTCTCTCACATCAAATTCCACCCACATATTTGTTTAGAGCTGTTCTGAACTGTTTTCACTTGTAAATAAATAGTGCCTGATTTGTGCATATTTTTCTCCTGATTCAGGCAAGACGACTTTTTCACTGGAGAAAGCAAAATTATGGACTCGTATTTGAGCCAGAATGATGGATTTGTTTCTTACAAATGCATAGTTTTTTGCTTCAGAAGATGTTAGTGATGGACTGGAGTGGTGTGGATTATTGTGATGTTTTTATCAGCTGTTTGGACTCCCGTTCTGACGGCACCCATTCACTGCAGAGCATCCATTGGTGAGCAAGTGACGCAATGCTACATTTCTCCAAATCTGTTCTGATAAACAAACAAACTCCATCTTGGATAGACTGAGGATTAGTACATTTTCAGCAAATTTTCATTTTTGGGTGGACTATTCCATGAAGGCTTTTCTGTTTGTTTGTTTTTGTTTGTCACATCGCTGCCAAATGTTGTAAATTTGAATATTTCTGAAGACAAACTTGAGAGTGCTGTGAAAGTTGATCTCACAGAGAGGAGAGGATGTTCCTTATCATTTAAAACATCAGTCTCATGGCATCTCTATATATATATATAGATAGACATAGCAAACTACTCCTGTTGCCATGGTGTTTGTGTAAATATCTACCAAAATTGCAAATTTCAATGTTGACAAACTGTAAATCTAATCCAGCTTCATATATTTTTCTTTTCTATGAGCAGTTGTGTGGTTTTGCACTGTGTTTTATATTGTAATGACATCAAAGTCATTTTTGTAGTTGGTTTTGGTCTTTATTTTGGACGTTTTGTTTCTTTAAGAAGGACCAAAATTAGACAGATGCTATGTGTAAATGTGGCTCACACTCTCAGATTTGTCCTCATTGTCAGTTTAATGATATTCTAATATATTTATACATTTGAAATATATATATATATATATATATATATATATATATATATATAAAATTTACTTCGAATTAAATGAATACGAAAGGGTGCATTTTAAGATGAACTGGTTGTGTATATATTCTGGCTGAATCAAACATGAAATCTTTTCTGGTGAGCCATCTGCTTGGTCGTCTGTGGAAGAGGGAAAGTCGACCTGAAGAATCTCTGAAATCACTGGCCATCTCCGTGTACTGTTCGTCCTCTGATTTCTCTTGCACAAAAGGCAGCATGATATCGTGTTTAGAAACTTGAAACATCCATCTACATTATATTTTGGCTCTTTTTCTTTAGTCCTGCTAGTGAGATGTATATTTACTCTCTGTTATTGATGATTATGAAGGCGAGATTTTTTTTTTCTGATAGTATACTCACAGCATTGTTATTTGAGTTTCCCTGAACATCATTGCTGTACTCCAGAAAAAAAATAGTCTCCTGAAAAGGGTCGGTTTTGGGGAAGATTCTCCGTGGGGTTGCAGGTTTTCTCATCACAGTCGACTTATTGTACAGTTTTATTATTCAGACTTTCACATGAATGTTTGTCTTAATCTGCTGCCACCCAACAGTTTAGGAAACATGTTTATAGACATAACTGTGCAATGGAAAATAAATGTAACAGAAAGATTTCTTTACAGCCGTTTTGATTCCATACTTCATTTTGCATACTTTGGCCACTAGATGTCACAGTTTTACAACTTTAACTCTCAATTTGGAAGAAATAATTACTTATAATAAATAACTTAAATATAAATAAATAAATAGAATATAGAAAATAAAACTAGAAAACAAAAACCAGAAACATATGTATTTTTCTGCATCTCTCACACACACACACACACACATTTATATATTTTAGATGCCTAATCAAAATGAGCAGGTGTTTTATACACGTTTTGTAGCGATACATACCTGATTAAACAATTTGATTATATTTATAATTTCATTATTACATAATCATTATACAATATATATGCAATGTTTCTGGTTTTTGTTTTACCCTTTAAAAAAGAAAAATAGCTGTCAAACGATTAATCGCATCCAAAATAAAAGTTTTTGTTTACATAATATATGTGTGTATACTGTGTATATTTATTAATACACATAAATGTATGTGTGTGTATAAATACACGCACATACAGTATATATTTCGAAAATATTTCCATGTATATATTTATATTAATGTAATTGATATTATATACAGATATTTTAAATGCATAAATATAACATATTTTTCTTAAATATATAGGCTACGTGCATATGTGTGTATTTATATATATATATACACAATAAATATACACAGTACACACATATATTATGTAAACAAAAACTTTTATTTTGGATGCGATTAATCGCGATTAGAATGTAATAAAAGCTAACATTAAATATCGATAAATCATTGATTTAACAATTGATGTAATTCCAATTATGTTAATTCTCTACAAAATTGTTACGATAATACTTAGTTTTATTTAGTAAAAGTGTAACATTTATAGATTATGCCTGTTTAAAAAATATAATCTGTGTATAAATTGCAGCTAAAATTGGCAAAAATTCTGCCTGCGTGTTCTTTAATATTAGGTTATTTGGCTGACTGATAATGCCTTACAAATGGAAAAACGTTATATACATTCTGACACCTGTTTAGGCATATATATATATATGCCTAAACAGGTGTCAGAATGTGATAAAAGCGAACATTAAATGTCGATAAATCACTGATTTAACAATTTATGTAATTCCAATTATGTTAATTCTCTACAAAATTGTCACGATAATACCTATTTTTATTTATCTAAGATCAAATTAATTAAAAGCATTCCTCTGTAGGAATGACTGCAGTCAAATAGCGCTGCAGTTCCTCATACGGCCTGCAGGGGGCTCTAAAGTCAAACAGCAGCTACGAAACGCGCATCAGAATGAAGGGGAGGGAAACTTCAATTTGGCGTCTGGTGCTCCGTTGAATTACTTAGACGCACTCAGTCTGTCTGGTTCGCAGCACAGCAGAAGCCGCATCTTCTTTGTTTTCATTTGCCCTGTTTATTTAAGTATCGGATCAATGGAAAATAAACCGTCACGCGGAAGAAAGCGACTCACTGACACTGGATACAAACGGCGTTTCGTCCTGTGACAATCTGATGCTGTGAGGAATAAAGTGTATCTGCTGAGAGGAAACCAGCGTCAGTCAAGAATTAAAAGCTGTGAGACTGGATATATGACAAAAGATTCACTTTTACAAAGGGATTTTCATATGCTAAAGCTTGTAACGTTATTCATTTCATATTCGATATGACACGGCAGGTTATCAAGGTACTGAGGTAAATATGATGCACTTTAAACTTTGTTTACATGGATTCTTTGCACTGAAACCAATTTTTATTTGAGATTTACTATTTCCTCATATGTTTAGGCATGTAACACTCGGTTTTTCTGCCTTTTATTAGTGAATTCAGCACTAGAAAGTCTTGTTTACTGTTGATGGACTGCCAGTGTTGATGTGTAGCACTGAAGATGGGAAGAAGGTATTATATGCGCTTGGGAATCGACTTTGGGAATGTCCTCTGATTTGGGAATGATGAATAACGGACCCACTATCGTCTACGAGTGGCTAAAAACCCTCCAGCTGTGTCAGTATGTGGAGTCATTTGTTGACAATGGTTATGATGACCTGGAGGTGTGCAAACAGATTGGAGACCCTGACCTGGATGCCATCGGTGTCTTCACTCCACATCACCGGGAAAAGGTTCTCCGGGCCGTGGAGAGACTCCGAGATGAAGACAAGAAGATGGCACCGGGACTGTATTTCACCCTTGAACCGCTTCCACATGGCACATGCCCTCAAATTAGTTACTGCAAACAGAAATGCACCAAGTCTTGGGTCAATTCTACTTGGGACAGGCCCAGGATCGGACTCTCCAATGACATCAAAGCTCTAGAGAAGGACAAGGAGCCGGTGGTGTATCCTAAACTCAAGCTGAAGATAATGATAAGGGATAAGCTGGTGAAGGATGGAATTGACCTGAGCAAAATGCCCTACTCGTATAAAGTGAGTACTAACCTTTACAGTTCCTGTCACATCACCTGAAAATGTTTGCACCGTCTCTTTGTTTTGCTGCAGAGATACTGACATTTTCTTCCTGCTTTCAAAGGTTACCCGTTGGCTTGAAATTTACCCACCTGGTGTGTGTGTGTTTAGTCTCGTTTTTGGAGTAATAAACATCCAAGAAAGGTTGTGCCTGCAAAATGTCCCTTGTAAATGTCATCCATTATTATATTTACTTGTGCTGTGGTGGTCGACCAATATGAGGTTTTCTTTTTATGGCCAGTTCTGAAAGTGCATTACCCTCATAACGTTCAAGGTGTAGATGAGTTTGTTTCTTCATGGGAACAGATTTGGAGAAATGGTAAAAAAAACACACAAAAAAAACTTATAAATCATTCTGATCCCAAACTGTTGACCGGTAGTGTAAGTGAACATGTTTGTAAGAAACAAATCCATCCTTAAGTCGTTTTAAACTTCTAACAATTGCTTCTGGCTAAAATTCACATCCTCTATCCATAGTATTGCTTTCTCCAGTAAAAAAGTCTGAATTAGGAGAGAAATATGCTCGGCATCGTTTACAAGCAAAAACAGTCATTTAAAGTTCATTAAATGTCTTGATGGATTTATTACAAGCAAAATAGACTTAAGTGGTGTGGATTATTGTGATGTTTTTATCAGCTGTTTGGACTCTCATTCTGACGGCACCCATTCACTGCAGAGGATCCATTAGTGAGCAAGCGATGTAATGCTAAATTTCCCCAAATCTGTTCTGATGAAAAAACAAACTCATCTACATCTTGGATGACCTGAGTGTGAGTAAATTTAAATTTTTTGAATGACCTGTTCCTTTCATTGGCCAGTGCTTATAATCTCAAAAAGTCTGAATATTGCCTGAATAATTGTTCTGGTTGCTATATTGGTCCATCACTATTGCAAGCAAGTATCCAAGCAAACCTTTGCATATATGGGCAGCACATTAAATTTTGTGGTTATCATATTGTCTTCTTAACATAAACGTGAACTTATTTCTGAGGTCTTGTTGGTCTGGTACAGTATTGTAGTTCCATGTTGCGGCATGCTTGATGCTTTCCAAGTCAGATGATTTTATCCAGCCAGAGACGTTGAAGTATTAGACAGCCTTAATTGAAGTCGTTATTCATTAGTGCACTCTGGGGCTTTGAGAGCAGGCGAGTCTTGGCTCTAATCGATAACCCAGAGAACAAGAACTGTAATCCATTAACTACACTGAATGCTATTAATAGAGTGATTTACTGCACAGTTATCTCCACTGAGCATCATTCAAAGCTCAAGAGCTTTTAAATAATAGGCAGGCTAATGCAATGCACGTTTACTGTTTGTTTTTGTCTTTTTTGCATGATCAGATTCAGTTTTGTTATTATGGTAGTGATGTTTTGGGCCTTGAGAAGCGATTAGGTCAGCACAACTCTTTATATTTAGTTTAGTTTCAGTGATTCATTGAAATGATTTTATTGTGCAATGACTAATTTAACCATATGAAGCACAAGCTAATGCTTTTTTAACAGTGCATATAATGTTTGATCATTTCAAACATTCACAATATTGTCTTGTTTTCCAATAAAAATATATATATGAACATCATTAAAACAAGATATATTCATTTGAAAAGTAAAAGTGCATATTAAAATTAAGGATGCACCGATATATCGGCCGCCGATATTTATCGGCCGATTTTTCCTTAATTTACAACCATCGGCATATCGGCTATATAAGGAAAAAGGCCGATATAACAAACCGATGGTTTATTAATTAACTGCGTGAAGGCACTGAGCTGTATAATGTCTGTTGCATAATCCTAGCGCTGCTGTCTGCATTTTAATGCTAATCAAATAACAAAAGACAAAAGATCGCACACTATTCTTGACTAAATAACTTCTGTAACTTTCTTTAGTGTAGCGGACCTCATCTGAATAATGACCAAAACTTTACTGATGTTGTAAGTTTATTGCTTCCTTTTTCACTCCAAAAATATCACCATAAGAGCTAAACAAAACACAGCACGAGAAGTGCACATTTCGGCCAATAAGTGATTGGTAAAATCGGTATCGGTGTCGGCCCCAAAAAATCCTATCGGTGCATCCCTAATTAAAATGTATCTTAAATTTTTTTTACCCTGTTAGCAAATTTTATTTTAAAGATAATTCTAACAGTTTATTGATGTTTATGCTTACAACAATATAAAAACAAATTAAGGGTGAGAAAAGTAAACTTAATTCACCCTTAATTATTCTTTGAAAACTAGTCTTTTTATTGTACACAACTGTGATGTTTTTCCTGAAAAAAACAAAACAAAAATACTGATTAAGTTTTTTTCCACATTATAAATATTGTTTATATTTTATATTTTTTAATATATTAATGGATTCCCTCTCCATCTTTAATTGTAATGCATATTTTTTCCTCTTTATATTAATATATATAATAAAAATACTAATTAAGATTTTTTTTGCAGTATTTCTGCTGTAGAGTTCCACATTTGAAATAAATCACATTCATATTTCAATATAAAGGTTGCACATTTTTTAATAAATTGAGTCCCTCACAGTTTTGTAATGCATATTTTTTCCTCTACGTATCAATATATGTAATAAAATAATAGTTAAGTTTTTTATTTTTATTTTTTTCCGCTGTGAAGTTCCACATTTTAATGATAAATTACATTTATAGTTCAATTTAAAGGTAACACATTTTTTTATTAAGTTAATTGAGTCCCTCTCCATCTTTTATTGTAATGCATATTTTTCTTGCTAATATCAGTGTATATATAATAAAAAATAGAGTCATATTTTTTTTACTGTATTTCTGCCAATGAGTTCCACATTTTAAATATAAATAACATTTATAGATCAATATAAAGGTTACACATTTTTAAATAACTTGAGTCCCTCTCCGTCTTTTGTTGTTATGCATATTTTTTCCTCGTCATATTTGCATATATAATAATAAACAGTCTTCATTAGCAGACTGGGACTCATTAAGCACTGCACCGTTCAGCGGCGTATCCACCTGAAGCAGAGCGCTTGTCATGCCTCTGTGGTGAGCTGTCACTGGACTCCACCGCCGCTTTTGTTCTTGTCCGAGTCGTGTTTCCATTATGCCGTCTTATCAGCACATTTATCAGTGACGGGTCTCTGGTGACAGATGGCTTCATTGCGCTTTGAGCTTAGAGAGCCATTTAATGTCTCATGCCATGCCAAAGTCCTCATTATCATAACTGTCATTTGCATTTGCAAAGAGTGGCCCACTTTTAAAATGTTTTCACTTGCTTCCTTGGTTTCACGGTATGCGAACTGCTGCTTCCCAAATTGTCTTGCAAATTGAGATGCGTTTGTGTTGCAACTAATAACGTAGTGCGCTTGAGCGAGCTTGATTTAAACATTTGTGGTTTTCCAGGCTTATTCCAAAGCGTATCTGTGGACTGAGAGGAATCTGAACTGAAGAACTGCATTTAACACCAAATTTAGGGTTTAAAGGAATAGTTCACCCAAAATGATTTACTTAACCTAGTTGTGCAAACCCATACTGTATGCTGTTAGATTTCCTACAAAATAGGATTTTTTGGAAGAATGTTCTTGCAGAGAATTTGAGTTCATATTGACTGTCATGTCTTTGTCAGATTTACATTACATTTTACATTTAGTCATTTAGCAGATGCTTTTATCCAAAGCGACTTACAAATGAGGACAATGGAAGCAATCAAAATCAACAAAAAGTGCTATAACAAGTCTCAGTTAGCTTAACGCAGCTCACGTAGCAAGGGTTTTTTAATTCTATAATAGATAAAAAGAAAACGGATAGAATAGAAAAAGAATAGAGCAAGCTAGTGTTAGAGGCCTTTTTTTGCTTTTGTTAATTGTATAATAAATAAAAAGAACTGAAATAGAATACAAAAAGAATAGAGAAGCTAGTGTTAGTTTTTTTTTTCTAAGAAAACAAGCAGTTAGTAAATGAATAGAGTGCAAGTCTTAAAGGGGCAGGTGCTTTACACACACACACACACATACATATATATA